TTTCGCCCACTTCTGTCCAACAAACAGGTGATCTACACCTTCGACCATACAAAGCTTCAAACGGTGCCATGCGGATACTGGACTGATAACTATTATTATATGCAAATTCAGCCATGGATAAGTGTTGATCCCATGAACCTTTCCAATCTAGAACACAAGCCCTCAACATGTCCTCAAGTATCTGAATAGTTCTCTCAGATTGCCCATCAGTTTGAGGATGAAAGGTCGTGCTGAAATTTAATTGAGTACCAAGTGCCTGTTGCAAGCTAGTCCAGAAATGAGACAAAAATCTGGTATCTCTATCTGACACAATAGACACAGGGACTCTATGCAGTTTGACTACCTCATCCATGTACATATTGGCAAGCTTTTCAATGGAGGTGCCAGTCCGGTAGGGTAAGAAATGAGCTGATTTGGTCAATCGATCAACGATGACCCAGATGGAATCATTACCCTTAAAGGTTCGTGGTAATCCGGTCACAAAGTCCATGGTGATGTTTTCCCACTTCCACTGAGGAATAGGTAACGGTTGCAGTTTTCCGGAAAGTCTCTGATGTTCAGCCTTGACCTTTTGGCAAGTCAGGCATTGTGAGACAAATCTAGCTATCTCCCTCTTTATGTTCCGCCACCAAAATGTACTACGTAAATCGCGATACATCTTGGTGCTCCTTGGGTGGATTGTATAGCTAGTATAATGGGCATCTCCCATAATCTCACGCCTTAAAGCATGATCTCTGGGTACACACAACCTATCACCAAACCACAGAATCTCATCATCAGAAATCCTGAATTCTTGCATGTGGGGTTCCCCGGCTCTTACTTTTTCCTTCATCTTCTGCAAGAAGGAATCTTTTTGTTGGGCAAGTTTAATTCTATCTATTAATGCCGGTTGTGCACTGAGGGCGGCTAGATAAGCCGTAGTGCTGTCCATTCTCAACTCCACATCCAGTTTCACAAGATCCTCAAGTAACTCCTTTTGAGTGGCAAGGATGCTAGAGGCAGTGCTAAAGGACTTCCTGCTCAACGCATCTGCTACCTTGTTAGCCTTGCCCGGATGGTAGCTAATGGTCAAGTCGTATTCCTTTAAAAGTTCAAGCCATCGCCTTTGCCTCATATTAAGCTCCTTCTGAGTGAAAATATACTTAAGGCTCTTGTGATCAGTGACGATTTCACAAGTCTCACCATACAGATAATGCCTCTAGATCTTGAGTGCAAATACCACGGCTGCCAACTCCAGATCATGGGTAGGGTAATTTTCTTCATAAGGCTTTAACTGCAGAGAAGCATATGCAATAGCCCTATCTTTTGCATCAAGACACATCCCAAACCCTTTTTAGAGGCATCACTATATATAGTGAATTTTTCCCCATTAATTGGAAGTGCAAGTACAGGAGCAGTGATCAACTTCTCCTTCAAGGTCAAAAAGCTCTTCTCACACTCTGGGGTCCACTCAAACTTGGTGTCCTTTCTGATAAGACGAGTCATGGGCAGAGTAATTCTAGAGAAATCCCCCACAAATCGACGGTAATAACGAGCTAATCCCAGAAAACTACTGATTTCTACAACACTATTTGGCCTCTTCCAATCAACCACGGCCTCAATTTTCTGGGGGTCAACAGAGATTCCATCCTTAGTCACCACGTGACCTAGGAATGCAACATTATCTAGCCAAAATTCACACTTCTTGAATTTAGCAAACAGCCTCTCCCTTCTCAACGTCTCGAGGACTGTCCTCAAGTGCTTCTCATGAAGAGTATGGCTAGAAGAGTAGACCAAAATGTCGTCAATAAAGACAACCACAAACTGGTCTAGGTACTTGCTAAACACCTGATTCATCAAATCCATAAATCTGGCAGGGGCATTTGTCAAGCCAAATGGCATGACTATAAACTCATAATGACCATAACGGGTGCGAAAGGCAGTCTTTGGCACGTCATCCGGCTTAATCTTCACCTGGTGGTAGCCAGATCGAAGATCAATCTTAGAAAATACCTGAGCACCCTTGAGCTGGTCAAACAAGTCGTCAATTCTAAGAAGGGGATACCGGTTCTTCACAGTCACCTTATTCAATTCTCGGTAATCAATGCATAGCCTCATGCTCCCATCCTTCTTCTTGACAAACAACACTGGAGCTCCCCAAGGTGATACATTAGGGCGTATAAACCCTTTCTCAAGGAGTTCCTCCAGTTGGACCTTTAACTCCTTCAATTCTGCAGGAGCCATACGGTATGGTGCTTTGGAAATGGGTCAGGTGCCAGGAACAAGGTCAATAGCAAATTCAACCTCTCTATCCGGAGGTAAACTTGGGAGATCCTTCGGAAATACATCCGGAAACTCACGCACCACCGGTATGTCTTCTAGTCTCGATGTCACACTACTAGCATCAGTAACAGAGACTATGAAGCCCTGGCAACCATTTACAAGATATTTCTGAGCCTACAAGGCAGATACTAACACGAGTAGAGCAAAAGAACCACTGCCTTGAAAACTAAATTCTTGCTCACCAGGAATATTAAAAATTACCCATTTCTGATGACAGTCTATAGAGGCAAAGTGTTTTGACAGCCAATCCATCCCCAAAATGATATCAAAGTCAGAGATATCTAAAAAAAACAATCTAGCACTCAACTGTCTACCATCAACATAAATATCCACAGTTCTACACACCTCCCTAGTAGTCATCACCCCTCCTAAAGGGGTGTCCACATGCAGTTCACAATCAGAGGTATCAACAGGCAAGGCTCGTTTCAAAACATAAGATCGAGCAATAAAAGAGTGCGACGCACCCGAATCAAATAAAACATGCGCATAATCAGAGTTAGCAGGCAAGGTACCCGTGATTACTTCGGTAGCTGCAGCTTCCTTGTGAGTCATCACTTGCACTCTCGCCTGCTGGGCTCTTGTCCGAACCCCAGTACTCTGTTTCTGCGCTCCCTGACTGGTAGAACTCTGCGAAGAGGTAGGCTGAGTACTCTGGGCTTTGGGGTCTAGCAGTGGACAATTTGCAATCCGGTGTCCCTGCTTGCCACATTTAAAGCAAACCCCAGTAGCAATGTGGCATTGATCCCGGGTGTGCCCGACCTTCCCACAAGCGTGGCAAGTAAGCTGAGCCGGACGAGCACGTTGGGCCGTTGATGCCTGACTCATTGTCTTGGTGGCTCCTGACCATTTAGAATCCTTGCTGATTTCAGACTTAGGCGGTGCAAGGAAATGGGATCGACGGCTCCCCTCGAATTTCCTCTTCCCAAGGGATGACCCGCCACTAGGCTGCCTTGAGGACTTGACTCTAGCCATAGCCTTCTCCTGATCTATGGCTCTGTCCGCAGCCTCTCGATAAGTGGCGGGTTTAAATTGGTTTACCGCCAAATAAATGTCAGAATTTAAGCCCCACAGAAATTTGTCGGCCTTGGCTTGCTCATCGCTGACTTGGCTACCCACAAAAGGCAGATAGCGGTCAAACTCCTCCTTGTACTGCTCAACAGTACTTGACCCTTGCTTTAAATCTGCAAATTCTCTTTGCAGTTCTCGCCTTTTGCTGTCCGGTATGTACTCCCGCATGAACACCTTCTTAAAACCATCACAGGTGCTCAATTCAGGCTCTCCTTGGTGCAGCTTCCGATAACTCTCCCACCAAGTTAATGCCTTCCCAGTAAGCATGTAGGTGCCTACATTGACCTTAAGGTCATCAGAAACATGCAGCAGGTAGAATCCCCGCTCCACCTTGGTAATCCATGATTCCACCTGCTCAAAACCTGCAGTACCATCGAATCCCTTGTTCATCATCAACTTCTGGAATTCTGTATAAATCTTCCAGCTAGGCACAGCAGGAGCAGAAGAGATAGGAACAGGGGAAACCGGAGCAGGGGCCACAGGAGTAGAGACCACCGGGGATGGAGGTGGTACACTTGTGGCAGGAGATACTTGGCGTCTTATCTCCGTCATAAGTTCATGAACAAAGCTGGCCACTTGAGGATTGCTCGTCCCTCCCTCCTGCGGAGTAGCTTGGGCGAGGGGACTAGCTTTTGGGATCGGAGGCGTGCCTTGATCCATATGGCTACCCTTCGGGGGGTGTCCACGCCGTTTTGGAGCCATCTATAACCACATAGAAGGTTCATAGATTATTAATCAAATGCTCCAACGAGAAATTTCCCGACAAGTTTCCACTTCCGGGACTAAACAACACAAAAATATCAAAACACAAGAAACCAACACGTATCAAGATAAGAATCACATAAGCGCCTTTAATCAACCCCACTCTCATGCCTCACCACGTTCCTATCATTCCTTTGCTAGCCAAGTTCTAGACTAATCTTAGGCTCTTAAATTAACCTAGGCTCTGATACCACAAAATCTGTCACGCCCCAGAACCCAAATCCGGGTCGTGGCAGACGCCGTGCACTCGTGAGAGGAGCCCACAAATGCACAAGGCTCGAGACCTACTGAGTTCTTACTTAGCAATTCAAATTTAAGCCTTTTAATCTACCAAATAGTTACCAGTCGAATGTACAAAATTTATCACTTCATATATACAATCATGACTAACACTAAATTCTGTACACAAAATTTTCTATGTCAAGCATGGGTGACTAACGGCTTAGCTACAAAAACCTAAGTCCAAAAGTGCCGAGCCGTCTAGCTCGTCACTCCCCCGAGCTTCCCACGCGTCGGGTCTCACTACCTGAAACGGTGGACAAGGAAACCGTGAGATAGAAATATCTCAGTAAGTAAACATGAGGGCCC